ATAATTTTAAAGGTAAGTAATAGTATTTTAAAGCCAATGCAGGTCAGCGAGGATAGGGGTGATAGAATCAAACCTGCCAGTTCCAGTTAAGAGGCGTGCCGCCGCATTTTGAACAAGCTGCAGCCTGCGGAGAAGGGTAGATTGGAGGCCAAAATAGAGAGAGTTACAGTAGTTTAATCTAGAGGTAATAAAGGCATAGATAAGTTTCTCAAGATCCTTACAGGGCATGTAAGGCTTGGCCTTGGCAATTTGGTGTAATTGGTAAAAGCTAGATTTAACTACAGTGGAGACTTGTTTATCGAGTTTAAAAGAACTGTCCAAGAGAACACCCAGGTCGCTTGCAGTGTCAGAAAGAAAGGTAGCAAACAGCCCAAGTGAGCCTGTTAGTTGGCCTCTAGGAATATGGCTGTCGAAAAAACAATTTCCATTTTCTTTTCATTTAAAATGAGTGCGTTACTCAATAAGCAATCCTTAACTTCTCTCTTACAATCAAAAATCAGTGTAGTGACGGTAAGACATCCTCAGTCAGATGAAAGTAAATTTGAATGTCATCTGCGTAACAGTGAAAGGAAATTTGATATTTTTCAAAGATGCGACCTAGAGGTAACAAATACAAAGCAAACAACATAGGGCCCAACACAGACCCTTGGGGCACACCACAGGAAAAGGGGGCAACTTCCCATCGTAGCAGCGACAGACCTTTCAGAAAGGTACGTCCAACTTCAGAAAGGTAACCAACTAAGAGCACTACCCTTAATGCCTACCATGTGCTCTAGCCTCGTTAAAAGGATACTGTGGTCCACTAAATCGAACGCTGAGGACAAATCAAATAAAACTAAAACCGCTGAGCGCCCTGAGTCAGTGATTAAAAGGAGGTCATTGAAGACTCTCAACAATGCCGTTTCCATACTATGACGTGTTTGAACCCAGACTGGATTTTATCAGTGATGCTGTTCACATCTAGATAGGCCTTTGTTGCAAAAGGACAATTTTCTCTAGAATTTTAGCCAAAAAAGGACGTTTGGAAATCGGCCTATAGTTTGCAGGGTCATTTTGGTCAAGGCTACTTTTTTTTAAGAACATATTGTACTATCACATGTAGTATGTTACAAGAGTAAGTTTGATGTTGTTCTGACTGTAATCTATTCCAAGCCAGAAATCTGCATGATTCCCAATTCAGTCAGTATTCTGAGGACTACAAATTGCAGAACATCCATCGATCTGTGATTTTAACTTTCATGTTTCCAACAAGATGTTTCCAAGATTAGTTTTATAAATATTGAATAATAATGGGACGCTCTTTTTTACTTACAATACTTTGACTTACGATACCTTGAATGACTCCTCTATCTGTACAGCTGCCTGTGAGATCATTTGCAAACCACTCAAGTGCTGGTTGAGAAAAAACAATGGTTGATAAGCCAGTATCAAATAAACAACACTGCTTCTTATCAAGAGTTTCAGTTATATCATTTATGACCTTGAGCAGTAGCAGTACAGCAACAGCAGCAGTACACAGCAAATTCAAAAGTGTTAAATGTTTTGGTGTTAGTAGTCTTAGAGTTAATTTTACT